TATAGAAAAAGTCAGGGTTGAAAATGTTTGGTCATTTCAGTTAATAGAGTAGGTTTGAAAGCTGTAACCGGACACTACAGCTACAGTCTGTTTTAAATCACTGTATAAGTGCTTTTGTTTAGCTTCTCACCAATTTGCCTTCATATGACTCCATTCTCATATAGATGTAACACAACTTATAGTAAATACAAGCAACGTCACACAGGTGTCATTTACTGCCCCAAGCCACACAATCACACTCCACATTATATGTGAGTGTTCTTACTGCGACTTTACCGAAAAAAGAAATGTTAACGATCTATATTCAACAAAACTATACGTCCAATTATGCTCTATCTGAGGGCCGTGTATTTCAACAATACCCATGAGCGTATTTTCCATTGCATAATGCTGTCATGTCCAAATCACCCCATTCCTCCCTACAAGCTTTCCACAATACACCTAATGTACGAGGACTAATGTTTTTTAGTGCCAATTTCAACAGTCCAGTCGCATAAAAATCTATAAGCATTTGACTGATATGTCTTTATATGAAATAGCATTAATATTCGCTTAGATCTGCAGTGGTTGAATGGTAGGTACAAATGGAATTCTTATCTTGGTGAATCTATACGCTGTTAGCCTCGTTTCCAAATGAATATCATTCTTGATTATGTTACCTGGGAAAGGTAGACAGCTTTTCCCACTGACCATTGTGTTTCTCCTACACCTAGAATACTTACAGTCTGCATTTTCATGCATAGTTAGTGTACTTATTCTGTAAGAATATCAAAAAAATATTCAGTGAAACTGTGTGCTTATTTAAAATATTTCAGTCTGGGTGACTAAAAATATTGTATCATAACCAAATAAAACACTGCGTACACCAATTATATATTTATTATGATATCTAAGTCACTATCTTTGAATTTCATTAAGTTCTGATAATTTCACACACTCGTGAATATTTCAATTCGATCCAACTGAAACACGTCGTACTACTCTTTACGAAAAAAAATATCAAGTAAAACTAAGTTTTCTCTCAGACATAGCATGAACAATTATTTACTCTTATCTATTCCATGAAAATTCACTCTCTGCAAAGCATTTCAATGTCAAAATTGAAACACTCGCTCTTTAGCGTTGATGGAAATAACAAGTACGCTGTATTTTCAAATAATACCTACCAATTATAATATCACAGTTAGCATTATATCACAAACTCTTTATATCAAGATAAAGTCATTTGTTGCCATGTATATGTTGTTTACTGTTGTATTCTTTGTGTAATTGAATCATTCGTGGTACATAGCAATCATAAATGACATTTTCTAGTGCTCATGTATACATGCAAGATCACACACACTTATTTATTTATATACATATATCACAATTACACATTGTCCATTACTATAGCAACTTATAGCACACTGCCTCTGGCTCCCACATGAATTACTTTGGTAACTTTCTTGGTATACCATCTGAAGCCACCTCTCAGTAACAATGGTCTAGTAACGTGTTGCCACCTATGAGCCATCAAATTCAATTCGTTTTTCATTTCAGGCATCAAAAAAATGAAAAATCGCCAGCAGAATTCAGCCAAACTAAGACTTTCCAACTGAAATTCAAGACAGCCATGATTAATACTCATGCTGTTACTATTATGTACCAAGTTCATGGTTTCTCCATGAAACATGGTCAACCTAGCAGGATAACTCCTATCCCAGAGAGACTAACAACAGTTCCTCACTATTAGGTGCTCGCTGTTTCACCTGTTGGTGGATTTCATCTACCAATTGTGTACTTCCAGTTTCTTTCCACTAGTCATCTGTGCTTCCCTTGCACTGAGATCGATCCTGAGGAGGAGAACTCTATCAGCCATTCTGGGTACATCATATGCTGACAGTTCTCCTTCCTTAGTCTGTGAAAGCAACAAGAAAGAATTCGTGGATTTTTGCAGCACTCCTGGACTTTACAACTCTCTTGGATCACCATCTCCCTTTCGGGACCATCACTTCTCTTGTTCACAAGACCTTCAAGCTGTGGAAAATATCATTTCCTTGCAAATGAAGCTTCTTAAATTTAGATATGTAAGAGTTTAAATTAGGGGGACGCACACATCGGATAAAACACAAAAAATTCCACATTAAGATTTACCACAATATTTCCTTCCTACCTACATTGTTTTGTTACCAAGTTAAACTTATTTTCAGATATAGTATTAGGCAGGTTGTCTTTATAACGAGAATATTGGCAAAATAAATTACGAAGTGATACTGAATTTCCAAGAAATTAATTGCCTGTGAGAAAGAAAGACACTGGAAATAAATATACGAAAACGCAATAAAATAATCTTCATTTTAACTTACAAACACAATCAAAATAATAATATGTGTATATGATGAAGGACTACACATTTACTCTATGATTATCTCTCTAAACTCTCCTTAGAACTTCTTAAAATGTTTGTTAAAATTTAGATACCTTTACTTGTTAAACTTTAGGAGAGTGCCATTTCTTAAAGAAATGACTTTAATTTTTAAACTAATTGCATTAACTTGAGAAGGGGAGAGAGAGTTAACTAAGATATCATAATAGCATATTCATGCACCACCTATTGGTCAATCACATTAAAACCTGGGGGAGGTGCTAACCTCGGGATATCCCCTGACCTACCATTGAAGGACATAGCTGTCGATCTTCTTGCAGAAAGTGCAGCTTTACAACAATACCTCTCAATGGTAGATGA